TATTCTATTCTATTCTATTCCATATTTTCTATTCTATTCTATTCCATTCCATTCCATTCAATTCCATTCCATATTTTCTATTCTATTCTATTCTATTCTATTCTATTCTATTCTATTCTATTCTATTCTATTCCATATTTTCTATTCTATTCTATTCTATTCTATTCTATTCTATTCTATTCTATTCTATTTTTATTCTATTTTCTATATTTTCTGTTCTGTTCTATTGTATTCTATATTTTATTGTATTCTATTCTATTCTATTCTATATTTTTATTGTATTGTATTGTATTCTATTCTATTTTTATTCTATTTTCTATTTTCTATATTTTCTGTTCTGCTCTCTTCTCTTCTCTTCTCTTCTCTTCTCTTCTCTTCTCTTCCCTTCCATTCCATTCCATTCCATTCCATTCTATTGTCCCCCTTTTTTATCTTTCTTATAAGAAGGGAGAGGAAAAATGTCCGCCATGCTTTCAAGATTCTGTTATTATACCTTAAAAATGTAGAATTCCAGTAGTTTATGAGGCATCTGTTTCTTGACTTCGTTTAAGCTACCATAGCAGATCTGATAGCAATATTTAAAGGGATTTGGAGCAGTGTGAATTGGAGTGAAATAAGGAAAAAGAAATAGAAAAAAAAATAAGAATTGAAATAAGGAAATAGAAATAGAATTAAAAGAAATGAAATGAAACCAGGAAATAGAAGTAGGAAGAAATAGAAATAATAAAAAAGAAATGAGGAAATAGAAATTGGGGGAAAAAACACCCAGAAATAATAGAAATGAAATAAAGAAATAGAAATCGAAAGAAATATAAGCGTACGCTGACAGGGGAATTCTGGGAATTGAAGTCCACAGGCTTCAATTGGCCAAGCTTGAAAAACACTGGCATAAGGTGTGATTATTCCTAACCCTGGGACATTTTTTTTACAGAGTGCTCATCTAGATGGCCACAAGAAGAGCAGCGTGCGACAGAAACTGGTCTCCTTAACCCTCAAGAAAAAATCAAAGTTAACTGAAGAGGTGAGTAACTCCTGTCATGCTTAAGCCAACATCCAGCCCTCTGATCACGGCCTGAGTAGAGGAACTTGGCTTTTTCCAAGTTAGAGTAATAAGTGTTTCTTCGGTTGTAACTTCAAACAGTTGCCAAACAAATCAAAGACCATTTGGTGGAAGCTGAGATTTGGGGGTCTCTCCACCCTTGCTCTGCAGACTGATTCCAGATCAGTAGAATACATTGGAATAGAGCTGGAGGGGACCTTGGAGGTCTTCTAGTCCAGCCCCCTGCTCAAGCAGGAGGACCTATATCAGTGGTGGCGAACCTATGGCACGCGTGCCAGAGGCGGCACTTGGAGCCCTCTCTGTGGGCACACATGCTGTTGCCCCAGCCTCACCTCCCCCCACGACCCCCTCCTCACCAGCAGCCCCCTGGAGGAGAGTTGCCCCCGAGTATGGCCCACACGGAGCAGCGCAGCCAAGGACATGGCAGCCAGGCAGCGTAGACAAGACTCTGCCCTCACGCCCCATCGTGCACAGTTGATGCTGCGGGGCACGGGCAGAGCGTGTGGCCACTATGGCGCTGCTGGGCTGCCTGGGTGATCTGCGGCGGGCCCTGGAGGTGGTGAGTGGCCCTGCAGGCAGGCGGGGCAGAGGATGGGGTGGGGCAGAGCAGGGGCGGGGCAGGGGGTGGAGCAGGAGCGGGGCCAGTTTTGGGGCACTCAGTCTTTAAAAGGTTCGCCATCACTGACCTATATCATCTCAGACACGTGATTGTCCAGTCTCTTCTTAAAAACCTCCATTGATGGAGCGCCCACGATTTCTGGTGGCAAGCTGTTCCACTGGTTGATTGTCCTCACTGTCAGGAAGTTTCTCCTTACTTCCAGGTTGCTTCTCTCCTTGATCAGCTTCCATCCGTTGTTTCTCGTCCTTCCCTCTGGTGCTCTGGTGAACAACCTGACCCCCTCTTCTTTGTGACAGCCCCTCAGATACTGGAATACCAGTGATGGTGAACTTATTGGGGTCCGGCTTGTCAAAACATCAGAAAAGTGTCTCCCTTGACACTGCTGATTGTCACCTCCACCCTTCAACCTGGATAAAAGAGGTCTCTCTGGACTCCTCTTCAGACTCTCCTTTCCTGCAGACCTCTGGGACTCATAGAGAGGGCCCTATTCTTGGGGGTCTCTGGAGCCTCCGAAAATTGGATGCATTGTCATAGGCTCACCATCGCTGTTCTAGATTAGTGGGTCTCCAAACTTGGCAACTTTAAAACTTGAGGACTTCAACTCCCAGAATTTAAGACTCGTAGACTTCAACTCCCAGAATTTAAGACCTGTAGATTTCAACTCCCAGAATATAAGACTTGTAGACTTCAACTCCCAGAATTTAAGATCTGTAGACTTCAACTCCCAGAATTTAAGACTCATAGACTTCAACTCCCAGAATTTAAGACTTGTAGACTTCAGCTCCCAGAATTTAAGACCTGTAGACTTCAACTCCCAGAATTCCTCAGCCGGCCATCCTCTGAAGTCCACCAGTCTTCCATTTGCCAACTTTGGAGAGCCCTGTTCTAGATAGAATGAGAATAGGGTGAAGAAATGAATCCTTCTCACATTCCGGCTTGCCTTGGGTTGGGGACTGAGAATTCTGCCAGGTTGACCTATTTCACAAATTGTACCTGTGCCCCGTTGCTTCCTCAGGTGACCAAACGCCTTCATGATGGCGAGTCCACTGTCCAGGGGAACAGCATGCTGGAGGACCGCCCAACATCCAATTTGGAGAAACTGCATTTTATTATTGGGAACGGCATCTTGAGGCCANGGGGTCTCTGGCAGGTGGGGCGGTGGGCAGGAGGCTCGTCCTGTGGGGTGAGGCAAGGCACGGCGGAGGTACCATTGCCACAGGGCAAGGCGAGGCAGGGGCCGAGGCGGCTGCTGCCTGACACCATTGGCCCCCACACACAGAGGCCAGCGAGTGCATGGGGGCTGACAGTGTCCATCAGCAGCCACAGCCTGCCGGCGCCTCAACCGGCGCATTCTGGGGTTCCACAGCCCACCGCCAGCAGTTCAGAGAAGCCGCATCTGAGCTGGATGGATGACCAACAGCTGAGGAAGCAATGCAGTGGGTCGTGCCCAGGAAAAGGAGAGCATGCGAGGCCAGGAGGGATGGGATGGGGGGGGGAGAGAAACCAGCCATGCTGGGATGCATCCAGCCACATGGGAGCTCGGTGAGTTAGTGGGCTGCTGGTTGAAGAGGGACGGTTGCCATCTCCAGGGCATGGCGCGCGTGCCCACAGAGAGGGCTCTGAGTGCCGCCTCTGGCACGCGTGCCATAGGTTCGCCACCACTGGGCTGGGACGTCGGGTTGGGGGCCGAAAAGATGGGACTTTTAGCTTGATGCTTTTGCTCGGGAACTTCAGATCCCCGCCTTGCTTCTCTGCAATCACTTTCTCTCAGTAAACGATGCCTGTGGTGTTTTTCTGAGGGAGGAGCCGAGGCGGGACCTGACATTCTGAACGGGAGAAGCTTCTTGGATGAGAAGCAAAAAACAAAGAAAATCCAGTTGCCTCTTTTTGGGGGGGAGCAAAAAAAAAAGGATCTTTGGGACGAGTTGGCCTTAACTGACCCTTCCCACTCCACGCTTCTGGGCGAAACCTTTGAGCCGAGTCAAATCTTCCTTGCAGGATCTCGAAAGAGTTGGGAAGATGCTGCAAGAAGACGACTTAGACACGGCGCTCCCTCTCCCTGAGGAAGAACAGGAGGACCTGTCGGAGTATAAATTTGCCAAATTTGCCGCCACGTACTTCCAGGGCACCACTACGCACACGTATGTACGCCGGCCTCTGAAGCAGCCGCTGTTGTACCACGAGGACGAAGGAGACCAGCTGGTGAGTCTCCTTGGGTGCCTTCTTATGCCATATCCGTTATCCGTCGTTGGCGATCCTGTTTTTATCAGCAGCCACGCGAAAAAGGGCTGCTGAGTTTTGTCCAAACCAGTCCCTTAGAGGCCTTAGAGCAGGGGTGTCAAACTCAATTTCATTGAGGGCCGCATCAGCATTGCAGTTGCCCTTGGGGGGGGGACTGGGGGTGTGTGGCCAGGGTGGGTGCGGCTTACTGGGTGGGCATGGATGGAGTGGGTGTGGCCTGCTGGCTGGGCATGGCCAGCTCTACATTGTTCACGTCAAGGGTGCCTGTGGGGGCCTGGGCAGGAGTGGGACAGATCTGGGGGTCTCTGGCAGAAGGGGGTGGGACCGGGGCAAGCGCCAAGGCATGGTCCATTTCTTCATTCCTCACAAAGGGTGACACCTCCCCAGCATGCACCCAGGGGGTGGGGCCGACACGGCAGGGGCTGGTTCCTTGCTGTTTCCAGATGGCCTTGTGGAGCTAAGACTGAATGTGTTTCAGCATAGAGGGTCACCACAAAATTGTACATTGGCTCCCGGCCGGCCTGGGCCAGGGCCAAGGCAGCGGGGGCCGTTCCCTCACTGTTTCCAGGATGGCTTCGCGGGCCACACGAAACCACTTCGTGGGCCGCATCCGGCCTCCGGGCCTTGTGTTTGACACGTCTGCCTTAGAGGTTCTTAGGGGGAGCCTGGAACCCCCACAGAGCGCGTCCCCGAGTAGCGGATTGGGGGCCCCTACCCATTATGGCTTTTATGCTGTAATGACGGGTTGGAGGGAATCGAATACCTCCCGTAGACCAACAGGCCTGGTGAGTGGCAGCTGGCTCCCCAGTATCGACTGAAGGCGGAGACCATGTTGGTTGGAACGGCTTCAGAAGAACAGCAGACGGTGTGGTGGCAGCCACGTGAACAGCGTGTGCACAACGGTGTAGAAAGCAAAGGGAAGACTACTAAACTATATATTTCCCAGGAAAAGCATGTTAATGGCGACAAAACCTAACAACGGCCCCGAGTACGGGTGCCCCTTAAATGGGGCAGGGGTGCTAAGAATCTCCCGGTCCGCTAGAAGCACGATAAACCCAAAACTACGAATTGGACGGCTGGGTAGAGAATATAAAAGGGCAGGTTGTGGAAGGTCAGTCGCTGACTTCTGACAGGTACTCCTGACTTACAATCACTCATTTAGCGACCGTCTGAATTTACAACAGCACCAAAAAAAGGGACCTGTGACCGCTTTTCACACTTAACGGCCGTCGCAGCCTCCCCACGGTCACGTGATCAACATTCAGAGGCTTGGCAACTGACATGTACTGATGACGGTTGCAACGTCCCCCTGGGTCACGTGATCCTCTTTTGCAACCTTCTGACAAGCAAAGTCAATGGGGGGGAAAGCCAGATTCACTTAACAACCTTGTGACTCCCTTAACGACGGCCGGGATTCCCTTAACAACCGAGGCAAGAAAGGTCGTAAAACGGGACGAAACAAATGTCTCGCTTAGCAACAGAAATTTTGGACTCTGTTGCGGTTGTAAGTCGAGGACTCCCTGTACAGATAGTCCTCGACTTACCGCAGTTTCAGTTAGGGGCCGTTCAAAGTTACAGCGGCACTGAAAAAAGCGATCTATGACCGTTTTTCACACTTAACGACCGTTGCAGCATCCCCAGGGTCACCTGATCAACATTCAGAGGCTTGGCAACTGGCATGTACTTATGACGGTTGCAGTGTCCCTGGGTCACGTGATCCCCTTTTGTGACCTGACAAGCACAGTCAATGGGGGGAGCCAGATTCACTTAACGACCATGTGACTCACTTAACAACGGCAGGGATTCCCTTAACGGTGGTCAGAAAGGCCGTAAAATGGGGCAAAGCTTACTTAACCACCGTCTTGCTTAGTAACGGACATTTGGGCTCCATTGGGGTCGTAAGTCGAGGACTACCTCAATTTCCTTTCCCGCCAAAACCAGGCAGCCCTGGCGGTCTGGATCACCATCCTTCGCTTTATGGGGGACCTCCCGGAGCCCAAATATCACACCGCGATGAGCGACGGCAGCGAGAAAATCCCGGTCATGACCAAAATCTATGAGACGCTGGGGAAGAAGTCGTACAAGAAGGAACTCCAGGCCCTTCAGAGCGAAGGAGAAGTAAGTAGGAAGCTGGCAAAGATTCTGTTCCTCATTTCTGTTGTTTTGGGAAAGGGAGAGCAAGATACTCACAGAGTAGCAACCACAGAAGTGGACCCAGATAGGCCTTGCAGAAGGAATCCAACAATCGTTAGATAAGCCTCGACTTAGCCCAGTCAAACAGAAGTGAGGAAAGCACGGAAGTGGAACCACTTGCCTCCAGGAGTTGTGAATGCTCCAACACTGGAAGTTTTTGAGAAGAGATTGGACAGCCATTTGTTTAAAATGGTATAGGGTTTCCTGCCTGAGCGGGGGGCTGGACTAGGTGACCTCCAAGGTCCCTTCTAACTCTGTTATCCTACCCTACCCTACCCTATCCTATCCTATCCTATCCTATTCCATTCCATTCCATTCCATATTTCTATTCTATTCTATTCTATTCTATTCTATTCTATTCTATTCTATTCTATTCTATTCCATTCCATTCCATTCCATTCCATTCCATTCCATTCCATATTTTCTATTCTATTCTATTCTATTCTATTCTATTCTATTTTTATACTATTTTTATTCTATTTTCTATATTTTCTGTTCTGTTCTAGTCTATTTTATATTTTTATTGTATTGTATTGTATTGTATTCTATATTTTTATTGTATTGTATTGTATTCTGTTCTATTCTATTCTATTTTTATTCTATTTTCTATTTTCTATATTTTCTCTTCTCTTCTCTTCTCTTCTCTTCTCTTCTCTTCCCTTCCCTTCCCTTCCCTTCCCTTCCCTTCCATTCCATTCCATTCTATTGTCCCCCTTTTTTATCTTTCTTATAAGAAGGGAGAGGAAAAATGTCCGCCATGCTTTCAAGATTCTGTTATTATACCTTAAAATGTAGAATTCCAGTAGTTTATGAGGCGTCTGTTTCTTGACTTTGTTTAAGCTACTGTAGCAGATCTGATAGCAATATTTAAAGGGATTTGGAGCAGCGTGAATTGGAGTGAAATAAGGAAAAAGAAATAGAAAAATAAATAAGAATTGAAATAAGGAAATAGAAGTCGAAATAAAAGAAATGAAATGAAACCAGGAAATAGAAGTAGGAAGAAATAGAAATAATAAAAAAGAAATACGGAAATAGAAATTGGGGGGGAAAACCCCCAGAAATAATAGAAATGAAATAAAGAAATAAAAATAGAAAGAAATACAAGCGTACGCTGACAGGGGAATTCTGGGAATTGAAGTCCACAGGTCTTAAAGAGGTCAAGCTTGAAAAACACTGGCATAAGGTGTGATTATTTCTAACCCTGGGACATTTTTTTTACAGAGTGCTCATCTAGATGGCCACAAGAAGAGCAGCGTGCGACAGAAACTGGTCTCCTTAACCCTCAAGAAAAAATCAAAGTTAACCGAAGAGGTGAGTAACTCCTGTCGTGCTTAAGCCAACATCCAGCCCTCTGATCACGGCCTGAGTGGAGGAACTTGGCTTTTTCCAAGTTAGAGTAATAAGTCTTTCTTCGGTTGTAACTTCAAACAGTTGCCAAACAAATCAAAGACCATTTGGTGGAAGCTGAGATTTGGGGGTCTCTCCACCCTTGCTCTGCAGACTGATTCCAGATCAGTAGAATACAATGGAACAGAGCTGGAGGGGACCTTGGAGGTCTTCTAGTCCAGCCCCCTGCTCAAGCAGGAGGACCTATATCAGTGGCGGCGAACCTATGGCACACGTGCCAGAGGCGGCACTCGGAGCCCTCTCTGTGGGCACACGTGCCGTTGCCCCAGCCTCGCCTCTGCCCACGACCCCCTACTCATCAGCAGCCCCCCTGGAGGAGAGTCGCCCCCGAGCGTGGCCCACATGGAGCAGCGCAGCCAAGGACATGGCAGCCAGGCAGCGTAGACAAGACTCTGCCCTCACGCCCCATCGCACACAGTTGATGCTACGGGGCGCGGGCAGAGCACGTGGCCACAATGGCGCTGCTGGGCTGCCTGGGTGATCTGCGGCGGGCCCTGGAGGCGGTGAGTGGCCCTGCGGGCAGGCGGGGACAGGGTGGGGTAGGGGATGGGGCGAGGCAGGGGGTGGAGCAGGGGCGGGGCCAGTTTTGGGGCACTCGGTCTCTAAAAGGTTCGCCATCACTGACCTATATCATCTCAGACACGTGATTGTCTAGTTTCTTCTTTAAAACCTCCAGTGATGGAGCGCCCACGATTTCTGGTGGCAAGCTGTTCCACTGGTCGATTGTCCTCACTGTCAGGAAGTTTCTCCTTACTTCCAGGTTGCTTCTCTCCTTGATCAGCTTCCATCCGTTGTTTCTCGTCCTTCCCTCTGGTGCTCTGGTGAACAACCTGACCCCCTCTTCTTTGTGACAGCCCCTCAGATACTGGAATACCAGTGATGGTGAACTTATTGGGGTCCGGCTTGTCAAAACATCAGAAAAGTGTCTCCCTTGACACTGCTGATTGTCACCTCCACCCTTCAACCTGGATAAAAGAGGCCTCTCTGGACTCCTCTTCAGACTCTCCTTTCCTGCAGACCTCTGGGACTCATAGAGAGGGCCCTATTCTTGGGGGTCTCTGGAGCCTCCGAAAATTGGATGCATTGTCATAGGCTCACCATCGCTGTTCTAGATCAGTGGGTCTCCAAACTTGGCAACTTTAAAACTTGCGGACTTCAACTCCCAGAATTTAAGACTCGTAGACTTCAACTCCCAGAATTTAAGACTTGTAGACTTCAACTCCCAGAATTTAAGACCTGTAGATTTCAACTCCCCGAATTTAAGACTTGTAGACTTCAACTCCCAGAATTTAAGATCTGTAGACTTCAACTCCCAGAATTTAAGACCTGTAGACTTCAACTCCCAGAATTTAAGACTCGTAGACTTCAACTCCCAGAATTTAAGACTTGTAGACTTCAACTCCCAGAATTTAAGACCTGTAGATTTCAACTCCCCGAATTTAAGACTCATAGACTTCAACTCCCAGAATTTAAGACTTGTAGACTTCAGCTCCCAGAATTTAAGACCTGTAGACTTCAACTCCCAGAATTCCTCAGCCGGCCATCCTCTGAAGTCCACCAGTCTTCCATTTGCCAACTTTGGAGAGCCCTGTTCTAGATAGATTGAGAATAGGGTGAAGAAATGAATCCTTCTCACATTCCGGTTTGCCTTGGGTTGGGGACTGAGAATTCTGCCAGGTTGACCTATTTCACAAATTGTACCTGTGCCCCGTTGCTTCCTCAGGTGACCAAACGCCTTCATGATGGCGAGTCCACTGTCCAGGGGAACAGCATGCTGGAGGACCGCCCAACATCCAATTTGGAGAAACTGCATTTTATTATTGGGAACGGCATCTTGAGGCCAACTTTAAGGTTAGAAATCAGGGGGGGGAAAGCAGAAATGGTCCAGGTGTGCATTGCAGAGGTGTACCCCAAAATAACAGCAACCCACTGCCATCAGAGGAGTGTTGTGCCCCAGTATTTAAAGGCCATAACAGGGAAGAGGTCAAAAAAGTCAAGAGAGTGCCACAACTGCGTAATCAAAGCCCTGTATTTCACTTATATGTCAGTGGGTTTGGAGAACCTTCCAAGATTTGGAGACTCCAAGATTTGGAGTCTCCAAGATTTGAGATTGCAAGTTTTGGAGATTCCAGGATTTGAAAATTCCAAAATTTGGAGATTCCAAGATTTGGAGATTCCAATGTTTGGAGACTCCAAGATTTGAAGATTCCAAGATTTGGAGATTCCAAGATTTGGAGACTCCAAGATTTGAAGATTCCAAAATTTAGAGATTCCAAGATTTAGAGATTCCAAAACGTGGGAGATTCCAAGATTTGGAGACTCCAAGATTTGAGATTGCAGGTTTTGGAGATTCCAAGATTTGAAGATTCCAAAATTTGGAGATTCCAAGATTTAGAGATTCCAAAACGTGGGAGATTCCAAGTTTTGGAGACTCCAAGATTTGAGATTGCAAGTTTTGGAGACTCCAAGATTTGAAGATTCCAAGATTTGGAGATTCCAAGATTTGGAGACTCCAAGATTTGAAGATTCCAAAATTTAGAGATTCCAAGATTTAGAGATTCCAAAATGTGGGAGACTCCAAGATTTGGAGACTCCAAGATTTGAGATTATAGGTTTTGGAGATTCCAAGATTTGAGATTGCAAGATTTGGAGACCCCAAGATTTTTCAAATGGATTTGATTAGCAGTTGAAGTTGGATTACATCATTCATTTTTTTCTCCTGCTTCTTGTGGCAGAGATGAAATCTACTGCCAAATCTGCAAGCAGCTGACCCAGAACCCTTCCAAAAACAGCCATGCCAGAGGATGGATCCTGGTGTCCTTATGTGTGGGCTGTTTCGCCCCCTCTGAGAAATTTCTCAAGGTAAGCCAGGGATGGGCCACCTTCTCGGCCTGGGTGGTGGGGATATCTCTGAGGGAAATATTTTGGTTTCCAAGACCCTCCTAGAACTTGCCTGGATGAAGAGGGCTGCCATATTCCATCTTTCTTTGCATTTTGGAGGAGGTGAAGCCTGGAAGTGGCAATTTGTTGGGTCATCAACAGAGACAGAGCATCAAGATCAAGAGAAGGATAATAATAATAATAATAATAATAATAATAATAATAATAATAATAATAATAATAATAATAATAATA